TTAGGACCCTCCTAGCTTTGGGGGAAAATTAGTAGTTTTTTTTTGACATTATGGAAAAGTGACTTAGGCAAATGCTGTTCTGGGGCAGAGGACAAATAAGGAGCTGTTGTGATGGAAACCAAAAGAAAGTCTTTTAAAATGTACAGGGTTATTCACTAAAGTGAGGATTGGCAGAAATGCAAAGTGCATTTCAAATTTAAAGGACCACTATAGGCACCCAGACCACTTCAGCTTAATTAAGTGGTCTGGGTGCCTGGTCCAACTAGGGTTAACCCCTTTTTTTTTTTTATAAACATAGCAGTTTCGTTTATAAATAGGTTAATCCAGCCTCTAGTGGCTGTCTCTTGACAGCCGCTAGAAGCGCTTGCGTGCTTCTCACTGTGAAAATCACAGTGAGAAGACGCAAGCGTCCATAGGAAAGCATTATGAATGCTTTCCTATGAGACTGGCTGAATGCGCGCACAGCTCCTGTCGCGCATTCAGCCGACGAGGAGGCAGAGAGCTCCCCGCCCGGCGCTGGAGAAAGAGGTAAGTTTAACACCTTCCTCTCCATCCAGCCCGGCGGGAGGGGGTCCCTGAGGGTGGGGGCACCCTCATGGCACTATAGTGCCAGGAAAACGAGTATGTTTTCCTGGCACTATAGTGGGCCTTTAAGTGAAGGTCAAGTTAGCAGAAGTGAAAAAAAGAACTCTGAGAATTTTTGTAATTCAGCAAGTTTGGCCTAATTGTTAAAATTCATTTCGAATTCCTGGCCATTCTCACTTTAGTAAAAATGCCTGTTGGCATTTTGCACCCAGAATAACACGTTTGCCTTGAAAAATCTTCCATTATATATTTTTAGTCGATGTACAATGTTCCAACATGTTGCACAAAATTGTGCAATACAGAAATAGTAATATAATTTACGGGGAAAAAAGTTAGGATGGCAGTGCTTTAACAAGTTTCTAAAATTGAGTTTTGGAATTAAGAAAGAATAAAAATTTTTAAAAAATTCAATAGCCAACAAAAAAAAAAATAAAAAAAAAAAATTATAAAATGTATATTCTCTTAGTCTCCATTCCACATGTTCCTTCTGTTCAAACCTTTGAAATAAGAGTACTTGAAATACATTGTGCTAGGTTGCATTGTAACAGTAGATGACTAATTCAAGCATACGGAATGCATTTTTTAGAAGCAAGTTACTCAATTGTTTCAGTGGCAAAGATATACGATACACTGAGTCTCTGACCAGGTAGAAACAGTAATAGCTGGGATACAAAGGAAAATAGCCAGAAAAAAAACAAAAACAAAAACCACAGTGTTAAAAGGTCGTCTCAATATACTCTTGCAAATAAAACGGTTCAAAAGTGCATAATAGTTTCAGGATATCTTCATATGCAGATTTGTAAATAGAATATCAAAAGTTTGTATATTATACCCCATAAATATTTATTTATACATGTATAGCTAATCAGAAGCTGTGAGAGTGGAACTTTATGACAGATGAAGTGGAGGCAAGAAAATGGGGAACACATTTAAAAGGGTAATACATACCTTTAATCTATATGGGGAAAGGCAATGTATAGATATAATGAAACAACTAGTGGAAAAAAAAGCTAGTCCTTTAGAAGCTTTTAAGAATATCTGACAACAAACCAACAAAGTTCCTAATTTGTTTGGTTTTTTTTATTACTGAATTTTTTTTAACATAAATCGGTACTGAAAAACAAAAAAAGGTTATCAATGATCATATTACCATAGTAATGACGAGAGTGAATTAACAGGTAGAATTAGATACTTAATGTTTTCATAACCTCAAAAGCATGTTCCTACAATTAAAACTGGGGATGTTATCCAGACTAGTGATGTACCGAACGGTTCGCCGGCGAACGGTTCCTGGCGAACATAGCATGTTCGCGTTCGCCACGGCGGGCGAACATATGCGCGGTTCGACCCGCCCCCTATTCGTCATCATTGAGTAAACTTTGACCCTGTACCTCACAGTCAGCAGACACATTCCAGCCAATTAGCAGCACAGCCTCCTAGCAGACCTCCCACCTACTGGACAGCATCCATTTTAGATTCATTCTCAAGCTGCATGCTTAGTAAGAGGAGGGAAAGTGTAGCTGCTGTTCATAAGATAGGGAAAAGCATAGCTAGGTTAGGGATAAGGGTATGCTTTTTTTGGATTTTTTTTCTATCTAATGTAAATGCACTTAGTTGTCTGCCACTGCTGCCAGCTTCTGTCAGGCTCACAGTGCCCATTTCCCCAGTCAGTGCCACCAATTACATCTGGTGCCACAATAGCTTGGGTTTAAAAACAAAAAACTTTTTTCACT